TTCAACTGACCGAATGGGCAATGACGAAAACTCCCAAGTGACGAAATGATGAAGATGACCGATGCTATTGAAGAGTTAACTGTCGTGTGGGCGGGTAATGATGACGCGTTGCAGTATGATCATGATGACTGCCGAATGACGTGGTAGTCGGATGACAAAGAGCCGTTCATCAACACGCGAGGTCGTTCGTGTCACATGCAAGATCATGCGTCTGTGTCCCACGAAGTGACGAAATTAGGTGCGGAAGCGTAATGATGACGAAGGTTGCTCGAAGATGGATGATGGAACACGCCAAAAGGGTCAGATGTAAAATTGCAGCACAGCTGCACTTCTCCCCCCTCCAAGAAGAAACAGCTCCCAATTTCATAGGCAAAACTCCAGGAAACCCAATGCTCCAGGGTAGTCTAAATAATCCCACGCTGCTGTTGAAAATTCTCATTCTCAGCTTCGAAGATGCCGTTGAAATCTATCCCAGCCTCTTAAAAACGTGAATCACGATGACTCCAAAATCCACTCCAGGTAAATTGTCTTCAGGGTAAACCACGCTGAAGGTCCGTAAATTCCACAACTACTGCTCCAGAAGACTCCCACACGAACTCAAAAAAATCTTCAGAAGTAAAACACTGCTTGCGAGATGGCCCCAACACAGCTCCACAGTACTGCTTCCAAATTTTATGTAAATTCGATATTGTTGTTTTTTATTCAGATGGCGAGGCAGGGTCGTGTTCATGCTGTCGGGCGAATCACGCGAATTGACGATGGTGGCGGTAGCGGGTGGTGGTGAGAGGCTGACAACGATGACAATGAAGAGTAACCGAAACGAATCCCGCTCTATTGAAAAGCCTCGAATGGAACCCGGGGATGAATGACGCCAGCTACATCAGCTTCTTTGTCCGTACACGCGGAAATATTCGGGAAGAACCGAAACAACGACTGTTCTCCGTCCGCTCCATGTACCCATAATACTCCGCAAAATTCGGTCGATGTTGTTCGTACCCCTGAGGATATCGGGTACTGCTCCAGCTGTAAAATGTTGAACTGCTCCAACGAAAATGTCGGAACCACACGGTACTTTGCAAATACCGTAACTCCGCTTCACGGCTACCCATAAAACACTCAGGCATTACGGCGTCCTTTAGCAACGCCCCCTCTATTTCTCCACCAGCTGTACGCATGAACGGCACCCTTTATATTAGGGAATTCCGGAGTCCACCGCCTCGGCATGATGTTTTGGCCGTTGATCGGGGTCAACGCGCATCAAACGTCGTCGATCTCCGCCCAGCTTTTACCCAACTCTAAAATACTCTGGTACCCCTGCCAACTGGCCGTTCACCCATCTCGCGGCTGCTGTAGGTTACCCAAAATCGCTTCGCTGCTGCTTAACTTACAAGGAGAATTCGCAGAAATAGGAGTGCGCACACTTCCAGTCAGAGGAGCTTTAACGAGCTCGCCTACTAACCGCTGGACAGCTCCCTCCTCCGTCGGAAAATCGTCAAACTACACCCGCAAACGTCGGAAACTCCTTTTGCTGCGCGAGGTGAAACCCTCAGCTTCGTTGCAACAGTAACGCCGAAAATTCCCGGGACACTCCATCTGCACAGTGTAGTTCGCAGATTCACCCCCCTTATTCACCCAGAAGCCGTCGATTAATAAGTCGACACTGCTACCTGGTGGGAATGGTGATATTTTCTGGGCGACGTAGCTGAGCGAGCAGCAGCCCGAACGCCGCTAACCCTTAGCTGCTCCAATACTCCTGTCGTTCTTCTTCCACTGCTTCAGCTCCTGACAGTTAACGCATTCGGCGACCGGTGGAAAAACACTTAATACACACCCAGGAGTGGTGACCTCCGTTGATGTTGATCGTGGGGGTATGAATCGCTGGTTCACAAAAAATGCCTCCCCACGCGGGAAGTCGCCCTCGCTGAGTACACTCACTCCAGCAGAGCGTCATCACCTCCAGATGGTCGTCGTGGTGAATAGCGCTGAGGTCGTTAATCCCAGCTGCTCCCACACAACTGCGCACCCACACGTCGTCGTGCGATCATGTCGTTCCGAAATTGTCAGATTCATCCATTGCCGAAACAGTGTTGAAGTCCCGTCCATCGCCTGCAACTAGCCTGTCGGAAACGCCTGGACCCGCGGACATCTACAGTTCACCCTGCCATTGCATGGCGTGCCAGACGTACATCGCCGTACGTCCCGCAAATTTCGCTACCCCGCGCGCTCCTGACGACCAAATCCTGGCCGCCTGAGGACTCCCGTGCACTTGTCTCCTCATGACGAAGCCTTCGCATTTTTTCGGAAGCCAGTCCGAAGACTCCGTCCGAACACCCGAAAATTACGAAAGCTCTAACGAACATACCCGAAAAACACGGCGAAAACGTCGCCCACTCTTCGACGGTGAATAATTCCGTCTACAACTAGGGAAAGGGAGGACTGGCCAATCCCAGCCATCCATCGGACAGGATATGACGGCATCGGCAATGCCCGCGCAATTAATCTCCGCGACGTCCGCTCGCCATCAGCATCCTTCCGCTCCCTTCCTCGATAGGGTCTGCTCCCCTACCGGAAGCCTAATGGGCAGGAACGTAGCTATGATACCAGCTGTTATGAATTATAACTCAGAGTATAACGCAGAATACTATAGGGGAACGTGATTACAGAGTTGTACCTAATCGATAGAAATGAGGCCTAGGCAATATATAGGGTGAGTTGACCAGGGTTGAATGTCGAGGGTTGGACCAGTCAAGGGTTCGATAGTCTCGAGGGTGACAGGGTCAAAATGGGTTCGGGGCGACTCGGGATGAGGTTGGGGCCGAAAAGGTCGACGGGGGTTGATTTGGCGCATGACTTGAGGGGCGAGCCTGCGGAACCGAGAGGTTCGCGTGTACTCGCTGTGGCGAGCCCCAGTAAGGAATCGTTATTCCTTACACTGGGAATGATTTGCTGGCGACGATGGAAATTGATTAGATGACGGCTAAGGGCGTGTCCCCAAAAGCGTTTACCCGTTTTTGACACGCGGAGCCGTTTGTCGGTATGCAATGCGAATCGATTTTGAAACACATCCTGCTTCTGGGAACAGGTCAGAAATGAGGGGTGTAGTTCGGAAGGACAGCACCGAGACCAGCACACACATAGGAGCGGGTCACTGGGTCCCGCCATGCGAAACCAGCGCAAGGCGCGTGTAACAAAAAAGAGGGCCAATCGGCGCAGCACGTTCCTTCCCGCCATCCCCATGCCTGAAAGGTGTGCGGCACACCCAGTGGTCGCAGCAACGTGTCAGGTTTTACTGGGCACCGCCAGTGTCTGCAGAAATTTCTCTGACGTGTTTGGATTCCACGCCCAGCAACCTTTGCTTGAGTGCACCTTACGTATATGCTGTACGAATACACAAGAGATGCCAGAACAATTATCAATTTCCCTCATCGCTCACCCCTTCCAGCGTGGTTCCTCGGACTGGGGGGCGGGGGGATGTTTCGTGGCATTGGCAGGCAACACAGCCACCGTGCGCTCCAATGGTGTCAGGGGCGGGCGCACCACGGAGGTGGCGCGCAGCATCAGTAATCCGTGGCTAGGGCTTGCGTGCGGGTGGGACCACATGCGCGCCAGCGCGCAGCACCACCACAGAAGGCCTCTTGATATCAGGGCAACTACAATAGTGAAATATTTCTGGGTTGTAGAATGGTAAGGGTAATGGATAAGGCGGTATGACTTTACCCTTTTTGCATGTTCCATGTTGTGTTTGTTGCCATGTACCACACCTCTGGCTGTACGTTCCAATCGTTAGAACGGAATCAGAAAAGAAATCAATGGTTCTGTAGGCTTGGAGAGAGGTTTGTTGCTGTGTGCTCCGTGGCTCATGGAGTTCAGCAATATCATTCGTTGAATCTGGTGTGAGAGAGCTGGCTTAGTATCCCTGTCACATTCGAAGTAGCCCGAAATATGACAGCAGAACATCCCTTGGCACTTGGCCTGGACTATTTGCACACGGGATCTTTTCCGCATTCTGTACAGTACATACTGTACTGTATCGCCTTTCCTTCCCTCCATCCCAACGGGCAGAGCATCAGGATCCATGGGCTTTTGATTGGCCAATCACCGCCGGAGGGGCAGTTTGGCCAATCACCGCCACTTCTCGTCTCCCCCCCATTCTGGTCGCTCTCCCCTCTCCTCCTGACAAATCCCAATGCCTTGCGCTGGCCCTGCGGGATCGCCGGAATATTACCCGCTTGCATACGGATTCGTCGAATCCCGAACCCTAAGGGCGTGTCCTAAGCGTTCATTGTTTTGCCAAATCTCTCCGAATCGTGTTACAGAGTTCTTATATTTTTTTTGAAACGCAATCCAGCTCACTCGACAGCATTCGGATTTACTCTTAGGACACGCCCTAAATACAGATAATACCCCTCGCCACGGCTAAGGAAAAGCTTTCTTCTCTACAGTACTATGCCTCAGGCGGTCCGGAGGGGAAAAACTTCCCGCTACGAATCAACAGTCAGGGAAGAATCTGCGCTCTTTGCCTGCTGGGCCGAACCAAGCTCAAGGGCAAAATTGGATGACATCCGCGGGATGACACGACGCAGGTATTCGCCGTAGTGGCAAAGTGAGGAGAAGTGGGGGGGCAGGAAGGGGAAGGGGTGATGTACCACTATGGACATATCTCCCACTACAAGCGTAATTCGCACGGAATCCAAGACAAATAACCCGTAATATCAAGAAATCAGGGGAAATGTAATCCGTTAGGAAAACGGAACTAGGTCGGAAACAATTCTTAATTACGTGACACTAAGAGTAACTACCCTGTTAGCCCAAGCCCCCACCCGACGATCAGCAAGGAAATGCGGCGAGGCCTGGGGCAGCAGTTGATAGGAGACGATGGGGTTGGCATGGCAGGCAGTGAGACACGTGATACAGGACGACCAAAGGAGCAAGGCCGAACAAATCTTGCGCCATATTTGCCCAATCAACCGCCGTCATTATCTTTTCATTCTTCTAACAAGACAATTCGTCCCATCGAGAATTTTGCTTACCTAGTTATACCCCCTTCTTGCTCCTAACCCCCCCAGATTAGTATTTCGAGCACAACGTCAGTATCTTGCAAACGCATGCTTGATATATAGTTCCTCTCCCTTCCACAAGCTAAACCATCCCGAGCAGTCCAACTGCCGAGAAAGCGTTACCCATGCGAGTCGTTGCGCCTGGTCGTTAATGAAGGTGGCGCTGGGGGCGCGGTGGTAGTGGGATCGGCGAGCTGCTGTGCGCGCCTAGAGGCGGCAGCTGCAGGGAGCGGTACGGCTGAATCCGTGTCAGCATAACGGCGTGAGAGCAGCGAGGTTTCGGCGATGCGGGGCGCGGCCCCCACATGTTGCGCGCCGGCGGTGGAGTGCGCCGCCGTGGACGCCTTCCTCGCGCACCACGCCGTCTCGCCCAAGCCCGACCCCGTGCCCGCCTCGCTGCCCGTGGCCGCGTGCGCGTCGGCGGACTCGCTGTACGCAGAAGCGCTGCCCGGCGAGGCGGGGAAGGACGATGTGCGGGTGCCGCGGGAGGACGACGGCAACGGCTGCTGTTGCCACGGGGACGCCGCCATCGGAGGTGCGGCCCGCGCTGACTTTCTCCCCTTTCCTGTGCCTTGTGCCTTGTTTCTGCGCCGCGATCTGCATCTCCACTGCCGCGGCTTGCTGCTCGCTGCGTACTTGCGCTGTTTCCTGCACTTGATGCGTAGATCTTGCCGTGCTCGTGCCGCTTGCGCGATGCGCATAGCTTCCGTTCCCTCGTACGAAAATGTGATTCTTCCCCGTCATCCGTCGCGCCTCCCCTGCCCAGCGTTGCGGCATCGGCTACGGCAGCAGCGCGACGGGTTGTCGTTGGCGTCGCGCCCGCTGCTCACGCTGCGCTACTTCGCCCTCGCCGTCGCCGAGCAGCTCGCCGCTACCGCCGCCGCCATCGGCGGGTCGCGGGCCATGTGCGGCGCGCTGATGGCGACGGGGTGGGCGCTGGCGCTCATGGTGGCGCTGGACCGCGCCGACAACAAGGTCAGCGCCGGGGGCCGGGCGGCGGGCTCGCTGCGGGGGTTTGGGTGGGGGAGAGGAGAGGGATGGGAGAAACAGGGGCTTGCAGGGTTTGGTGGGTACGCTGATCCGCTCTCCGCGCATCCCGCGCCAGCATGAGATCTGCACCCCGCAAGCCCACTTCCGTGTCCCGTGCGTGCGTGCGTCCGCCCATCCCCCATGGCCCCCACCCGCAGCTAGTGCACGAGGCTCTCGCGTACCTGCGGTTCGGCGTGTGGTGGGTCTGCCTCGGCATCGCGTCGTCCATCGGATTCGGTACGCCCCCTCCGCCACTCCCGCGTGCCCACTCCACTCTCTAGGATACTCCACTCCACTCCCCATCCCCTCCCGTTTGCTGTTCGCGCACCTCTCAGATTACTCTCACATGCACCATTCCTTTACGTGCGCCCCTATTCCGCTCGGCCCACCTCCTCTTCGCGCCTCCTTCTTTTCTGCGTCCCCCCGCATCGTCTGTCGTCCCCGTGCCCCCCCAGGCTCGGGGCTGCACACCTTCGTGCTGTACCTGTCGCCGCACCTCGCGCGCTTCACTCTCAAGGCCACGGCGTGCGGCCGCCCCGACATCAAGCTCGCGCCGCACGACACGGCGCAGTGGGCCTCCGCCGCCTCGTGGGCCGCGCGCCACTGCTCCGCGCTGGGCCCGCCGCTCTTCCCTCACGTGCCGTCGGCGCACGGCGGCTTCCACGCCGTGCCGCTGGCGCTGCTGCTGCGCGCCGTGCTGCCCGAGGTGCTGCTGTGGGGCGCGGGCACCGCCGTGGGGGAGCTGCCGCCCTTCCTCGTCGCGCGCGCAGGTGAGACGCGCGGGAGGCATGGCGGTGGTGGCGGGCAAGGGAAGGGGTTGGGTGCTGGAGAGCGTATGGGACGGTTCACATGCAAGCGGGGCGCCAGGCGTGACGGACGCCCTGTGATGCACACACGGCCTAAACCCTGGCGGGATCTTCCCACTCCACCGCTCATCTTCTACCTTTCTTGCTAGATCTGCCCCCCCTTCTCTCTCCCTCCCCCCCCCGCCCCTGCGTGCCCCATGCTGGTGCGAGCAGCGCGTCTGTCCGGGGAGAGCATCAGGAGCCTGGAGGGGCAAGCGGGGGACGAGCAGGGCGAGGAGGACGAGGGCGAGCAGCACGACTCGTGGCTGCACCGCCTTTTCCTGCGCTTCCTGCCGCCCGGTCACCGCTTTGGCTTCGGCACCATCTTCCTGCTCGCCGCTGTGAGTTGTACCACCGTGCATCGCCCAACTCCCCCCCCAACTCACTGTCGCCCAAACCCACTGTCGCCCTCAGCGCACATCCATGCCTCGCTCACCTTACCTTTGCCTTCTGCTCCCCTGCTCCCGTGCGCTCCTGCTTCCCTGCTTTCCTGTGTCCCACTTCCTCTGCTTCCTTGCTCCGCTCCCCTGCGCCCCTGCGTCCCTGCGTAGGTGCCGAACCCCATCTTTGACCTGGCGGGCATCACGTGCGGGCATCTGCTCATCCCGTGCTGGAAGTTCCTCCTCGCCACGCTGCTCGGCAAAGGCATTGTCAAAACAACGTTGCAGGTGCGCTCACTCCTGCACTGCTCGCATGCTCTCTCTCCTCTCGCTCCACACTTTCCCGTGCGCCACCCGCTGCGCCGCTCCTTCCACCACCGCTGCCCTTCACTGTCTCTCTTTATCTCTCTCTCCCATCGCCATCCCCCCCCCCCCCCTCTCCCCCCCCCACACGTGGCGCCAGGCGGCGGCGGTGGTGTTTCTCTTCCACGAGCACTCGGTGGACCTCATCGAGTCGCTGCTGGAGCGCCTCCTCAGCCACCTGCCCTTCCTCTCCTCGCTGCTGCCGCCTCTCCTCGCAGCGCTTGACTCCGCCAAGCAGCGCGTGGCCGATGGCGACGCTGTGGTCAGTGCCCTCTCCCACTCCCACTCCCCCTCCCTCCTCACACCGCCTTCACCTCTCGTCCCTCGTTGCCCCTTGCACTTGTGCCACGCTTCGTTTGTCTATGTCGTCACGACGCCACCTTGTCCTGTCACCTCGCTTCCCCCCTGATCAGGTGCCCCTCTCATACTCGACACCCTGCACTAAGTACTGGAGGGGTGGCCCTTGCAAGCCATGCATGCTGCGTGGTTAACGCTAGCTGTGACACTGGTGGCTGCCCTCGAAGCGGGCTAGGACAGAGGGTGTTGTGCGATCCTGTGTGGGAGATTGGTTGCAACCCTGTGTCTGGCTGTTCACTGCGTCCCTCAGCAACCCACTGTCTTATCCTGCCACCTCTCCCTCGCTCGTGGTGCGTGGGCATCAGGTGGTGGCGGCGTCGCCGCTGTCGCTGGGTGCGGTGTGGTCGGCCGTGGTGACGCTCATGATCCTCTCCTTCCTCGCCTCCGTCGTCACCACCACGGCGCGCACGCACCTGCTGCGCTGCCACGCGCGCCAGCTGCTGCACGCACAGCAGCGCCACCGCCACGCTCTCTGCTCCCTGCATGGCATTGCCGCACAGGCAGTGGGCAGTGGGGGGGAGGTGCATGCAAGCAGAGAGGGGGCGGAGGCAGGAGCAGCAAGGGGGAGTGAGGGTGTGGCGGACGTGCCTCTTGGGCGGATGCTGTCAGGCAGTGAGAGTCAGTCGGGGGATGAGAGCGAAGGCCTTCTTACCTGACCTTGCATTGCCATGCTGTGGCGAGCATAAGGATCTTGGTTGGCACATTCGGGTGGGGTGCTGTAAAAGAGGCCATGCCATTGGATGGTCATGGTTTGAGCTGCCCCAACCTGCTGCTGTGGCGGCACCTATGGCATGGGGTGCCACAGCACACATGAAGCAGAGTGCCTTGCACCTGCACCACATGCTGCCATGACTGCCTCCTCGTGCTCACTTACTGAGTTATCACTGCGATATCTGGTACCCATTCAGCACACCGACAGCCACAGATCTCATGCCCACTAGTTGTCTCGGGGCCCCAGCACACTCCCTGAACGTCGTTACTTCACCAAGTAGCAGTGATAAGGTGTTTACCAGGGAAAGTGTACTAGTGCTCCAAAGAAATGGTACCAGCCATGTTGGCAAGTCCATGGTTTAAGAAATGGAATAGGTGCTAATGTCAAACAAGCTAGGATAGGATAGGTAGAGAAAGGGCCTCAGATTGGTTCAGAGGTATCCTAATAGCTCAGGGTAGCCTGATTTTTCAGAGCTCCCCCCAAAAAAAAACCCGATGAGTAAGGGCGATGTCCTATGAAGTACAATCATAATCAATAATGATTCTGATCCTGCCGATTTACTACATGCGGATCAACAATTCTGTAAAGCAATCGCAAGTGAATTTCGTGTGCGAACCTGGATGCTTCGCACAGTCCTACTGTCAAACATAACTTACTGGTATGTTGTTACTGAAGACTAGACAGGTTTGTGCCTTAGAGGGTGTTGGAAATATCTCGAGGACTTGAGCGTTTCTGAAGTGTAACACCACACTCGAGGAAGATCGTAACGGGTACGCGAGTCAACGGAGGTTACACGAGGGGATGGACAAAGAACACGAAACGACTCGAAGGATCGCAACCGGAGCAGGGCTCCTGCTAGTTTTTAGGGCAGTCTGAAAATCAGACAGGTACTTAGAGCTTCGTCTGACCGTCAGACGGATTTTTTTTGCCTGTCTTACGATTCAGACGAAATGCAAGCACGTGTCTGAGAATTCAGACTGTTTGTGTGCCCTAGACTGTTTTGCTGCCGCGCTCGGGGTACCATTGAATGCGCGTGCTGCGGTGCACATGGGACCAGGTGGCAGGCAGTGGCCCAGTGGGCATGTAGACTAGTAGTGGCCCTGCTATCAGAATTAGTGAAGTGAATAATGATAGAGTGAGAGTACACACAGATATCCCTAAGTGTTGTACCCTCTAAGAGGCTACCCTATACAGTCTATACAAACATGACAAATACACATGTTTGACACACCCCCTAGACTGCATAGGGGAATGTCCTAAACAAGCAGCTCAGGGCGGCACTACTAGTCCAACCTCTGAGACAAGGGTCTGAGAGACCAGTCAGAAGGAGTACAGACAAGGCAAGAACAAGAGCAAGGCGGCACTACTAGTCCAGCCACTGGGAGAGGACACAAGTCCAGTCTGAGTATACGTATAAAGGACAGTACAAAGTCAAGGTCCTAGCAAGTGAGAGGCTACAGGAACTAGACCAAGCTGTACACAGTGCCGCTGATGATCTTTAGGCGCAAGCGCCTTCGTAAAGATATCAGCCGTGTTGGCACCTGAGGCCAAGTGTACTACGCGAGCCTGACGTCGCTGCTGTAGCTCACGCAGGAGGAAGTACCGCAGCTGAATGTGCTTTGCTCTGCCCTCGAGTCGAGGCTCTTGACACAGGAGGATCATGGCCCTGTTGTCAGCGAACACGACCGGGGCAGAGCTAGGCCGCTCACCTAAGTCAGTGAGCAAGAAGGTCAGCCAGCGGAGCTCCTGTGCCGCCATGGCACCAGCGTAGATCTCAGCCTCACAGCTGGACTGGGCAACAGACAAGGAGCGGGTAGCTCTCCACGAGACGGCACCTGAGCCAAGGCTGAAGCAGTAGCCCTGGGTAGACCTGAGTGTCTCAGCGTCGTCTGCCCACGAAGCGTCTGTGTGTCCAGTAAGGACCACTGGCCTGCGTCCTCCTAGCACTAACCCCATGCCCGATGTACTAGCAAGATAACGCAGAACCCTCTTAGCGGCAGACCAGTGCTGCGGTCGGTGTCTGCCTATGGGCACAAAGCGAGCCAGGATGCTGAGAGGGTATGCGAGATCTGGGCGAGTGCAAGTCATCAGGTACATGAGGCAACCCACCAGCTCTGCGTAGGAGCCGCTGGGCTCTACCAACTCCTCAGACACTGGAGCGGAGAGTCTGTGGTCTACAGGCAGAGGGGTGGGTTGTGCAGAGGAGAACTGAAGGCTGAACCTCTGAAGGACCTGGCGCACCAAGTGTGACTGAGTCAGGGTGATGGTGTGCGCAGCTCTGTCCCTGGAGATCTGCAAGCCAAGGTAACGACGCAGTTCTCCAAGGTCAACGCACGTGTGTCTCTTCAGCAGCTCTGCCTTCACGGAGGCCAGTGCGTCCCTGTCTGCCGTGGCAAAGACCAGGTCGTCGATGTAAACAAGGATGTAGAACGGAGTCTGGCCAGCACGAACGAAGAGAGAAGGGTCTGCGGAAGACGGAAAGAATTGCAGGTCAGCAAGCGTAGCACGGAGAGTGTCGTGCCACTCACGGGGAGCCTGACGCAGGCCGTAGACGGGGCGCCGCAGGAGCCACTGGGTCCCAGGAGGGAAGGTACCAGTAAAGCCCTTAGGACGACGCAAGTAGACCTGCTCGTGTAGGCTGCCCTGAAGGAAGGCAGTGGAGAAGTCGAGGGAGTGGAGCTCGTAGTCACGCTGAGCAGCTAGGTGTAACAGAACCCGAAGAGTAGTCATCTTTGGGGTCGGAGCGAAGGTCTGGAAGAAGTCTACCCCCTCACGCTGACTGAAGCCTCTAGCCACATAGCGCGCCTTGAACACAGGCGGCTCTCCAGGAGGGCGCTTCACCTTGAAGAGCCAGCGGCCATCGACTACGTTCACCCCAAGTGGGGGAACTGCGTCGACGAAGGTGCCGGTGGATCTCCAAGATGCCATCTCCTGCTCCATGGCAGCTATCCACTGCGAGGCCCAGGGTCCCGAAGTCGCCTCAGCGTAAGTGCGAGGGGTCGGGATGTCGAAAGCGTCTGGGTCACCCTGAGGGACTAGCAGCATGGAACAGAGATGGGGAGCAGCCTCGGACAGGAAAGCAAGCTCGAACTGGCGGTCCTCCAGAACGTCACTGCCAAGGGCAGAAGCACCCTCGACAGACGGAGGACAGGCAGGGTCAGAGACCAGAGCGGAGGCGTAGTCAAGGTAGCGGGTAGAGGCGAAGTCAGCGACAGCGGCGACAAGAGCGTCAAGGCACGAGGCCGGAACAGACGGGTCGGTAACGAGAGAGGCAAGGACCCGAGGAACAAGGGGACGAGCGGCACGAAGGTAGTCAGACAGCGGGGGGGGTGCAACAACAAGGGAGGACGGAGGAGGCGACGTCAGAAGGGGAGGACGAGACACGTGGGTACGAAGCAACATAGGGTGGGAGCGCAAGACAGGCGAGGCAGGACGAGCACGGGAGGGACGATGAGACCAGACGTGCGACGGAGGAGTCGGGTCAGGAGACAGAGGAGGGGACACAGGAGGGGAACGAGGGTTGAGACGGGCAGGGGACGAGTCCGGCAGAGGGAAGACAGGGCCGTAGACAGGAAGAGGAGGAGACGGTCGGGGAGGAACCGACGCAGGGTCGGGGGACGGAAGGCCGAGCAGGCGAAGGGCTGACACCGGCGGGGACTGCTGCTGCGGCGGCACAACGGCGACACCTGGACCGCAAGGTGCTCCTCGGCTACCACCGGCACTCTCCACACCAGCACCCCCAGAGGGACCACCCCCAGGGCTATCGGGACGAGCACCCCCAGAGTTAGCGAACGGGTGCTGCGACGGTGGCGGCGGCGGCGGCGGCGGCCGCGGCCGCAACAACGACGGCTGCAGCGGCGGCAGAGGCGGTGGAGGGGGGGACAGGGGAGGGGACGCCAGGGGAGGGGCGGCCGGCGAGGACTGAACAGGAGGGCCACCAGAGTCAGAAGACTCCTCAACCGGGTCCACCGACTGAAGGGGGGTGACGTGGGACACACCAGAGGGGGCGGGACGGGGAGGAGGAGGAGGAGGGGCAGGGACGACCGGGGAAGGAGTGACCAGGAACAGGGGGGGGGTAACCGGGGGACCACGGTGGGGGAAGCGACGGTAGTAGGAGACAGACTCGTCAAAGGTGACGTCACGAGAGTGAAAGAACCGGTGAGACGGCGGGTGGTAAAAGTGCCAGTCAGGCGCGTCAAGGGGAAAACCGAGGAAGACGCAGGGAAGGGTGCGGGCAGTGAGCTTGTCCGTGCCGGAGGCACGGACGTGAGCAAGGCAGCCCTAGACGTGGAACGCAGACGCGTCACCAGGAGACCCAGTCCAAAGACGGGTCGGCGAAACCTGCGGCTGCTGAGGGTGCGGCCACAAGTTAAGCTGGTGAGAAGCGTAGCGCACAGCGAACGGCCACAGAAAATGGGGTGCACTGGCATGGATCATGGAGGTGCGAGCCACTTCCATGACCAAACCGATGCGTCGCTCAGCGACCCCATTCTGCTGTGGGGAGTCCGGTAGGGTGAACGTCTGGGTAATGCCCTCCGCACGACAAAAGCGACCAAGGACACCTGAGGCAAACTCGCCACCACGGTCTGAGTGAAGACGCAAGACAGGGAGACCGCGGTGGACACGCGCAGTGACAAGCCAGGGGATGAGAGCTCCAGGCACGTCGGCCTTGCGCTCCAGGGGAAAGACAGTGGTGTAACGAGTGAAGTCGTCGACAAGCACAAGGAAGTAGCGCTCTCGACGCAGCCCAGGGACGGGGGCGGGGCCCCAGACGTCCACGTGCAGGGTCTGCAGAGGCGCGGCAGTAGGGGGAAACGAGGAGGAGTGAGGGGCACGGTGAAGCCGACCCTCGACACAAGGCGTGCAAGGTGGGGCTGGGGAGGAGGGAAACGCGGGGAGGGAACCTGGGAGACCAAGGACAAGACCGTGCTGGGACATGTGACGCAGACGCGGGAGCGCAGGGTGACCTAGGCGGTGGTGCCAAAGGAGGGTCGGGTGAGTGAGGGACGGACAAGAGCAGGCAGCAGCAACCTGGGTGAGCGCTCAAGCCGGGGGGGTCACGGTGTCCAGAGTGAACAGGCCGGACACCGGGTCCCGGGGGAACGTGGACAGGGGGGCACGAGTGGCGGCCTCGGTACAGACAGCATACCGCTCGTGACCAGGGAACGTAGTGGTGACGCCAAGGTCCTGGAGGCAGCCGACACCAACTAGGTTCCTGGAGAACGAGGGGATATGCAGACCTGTAAGAGTGCCTGAAGGAACCGCTGGATAGGGAAGGGTGGTGGAACTGCGGGCGACTACCGGACCGCCGGAGGGGTCAGCAAGAGAAACGGCAGCTGGAACAGGAAGCGGCGTCAGGGTGGTGGAGTCGCGGAAGAAACTCCGAGAAGCGCCAGAGTCCAAGGTGAAGGAAAGCGAAGCAGAGGCGGCTGGCGACGGAACGACGGCGGAAGCACCAAGACTACACAAAGCAGG